TTATTGTCTGTTTGACCGGTTATCCCAGTTTGCGAAAAGTTGAGTATAAATGTGTGATGGAATCGTTTACATTCCAAAATCTCATGCCATTTTGTTCCAGGCATATTCTATGAGTTATAATAAAAATCTGATACATATACTCATATTGTGTGAAGAGATCTTTGTATTACATGCACCCCTTTAGATTACATATTGGAATGACAAAAAAAAAAGAAAGAAAAAAAAAAGCTTGAAGCATGAATTATTTATTTATTTTTGCACCAATTTGTTACAAGAGGCAAACACTTTGTAAATGAAGTCACTCCTAAGACAGGAAAAACACAACTTAATACTATTAACCAATATGGAAGCAATATTAACTTAGCAGTAAGTAATAGCAAATTTAGGACAAAGGTAGTTCCTTATTAGGTATTCAATAATCAATACTAAATAAAAAATATCCTCATTGAGAACTACTTGCTAACTATGACCAATTAATAAAGAATAACCAATTATTAGTGAGGAGTTGACATCAATTTCACAAGTAATTTAATACATTTTTAGACATGTTACTGTTGTGATTAGTAATTAATTGGTTGTTCTTTATTAATTGGTCATAGTTAACAAGTAGTTCTCAGTGAGGGTGTTTTTATTTAGTAATTATTGAATAACTAATAAGGAACTACCTTTGTCATAAATTTGCTACTACTTACTGCTTAGTTACTGTAATCTTGCTTCCATATTAGTTAGTATTATTAAGTTCAGTGTTAATGTAGTAGGCTGCTACCTATTACTTCCTGCATAGTTACTTGTTAACAATGTGCCATTATTCAAAAATGTTGCCTAAAATGGATTTTTAAGCAGTTGCCTCTGAAGAGAAGTATAAATGTAGGCTAAATAAAATGGAATGGGAGGTGAAGTGCGTCATCGGGCAGCAATCATTAGGGTGCTTTAATTATATTTGGACCAAATCATTGTCAACAATTGTTTCTTATTAAAAACACATTTTGTGTTTTTGCCGAGGGCTGATCATTGTTTATTGTGCACTGTTGTGTTTACACGTCTTTAGTTGTTAAAATGTAAGTAATTTTCACTTTACATTGATTTTATTTTTCATTAAGGCCTACAGTTGATTTCATGAACACTAAAAGCAGCATGTCCGCCAGAGGTCAGTAGCGCACTGTGTAAGCAAGCGAAAAATAACGTGGCTTGTGCATTTCAGTGCGTCTTTTCGAGTTGCTCAAGTAAATGATTCCAGGTTTTTTGTTACACATACACCAGGTATATACTAACTGTTTATGTGTAAACATTGTTTTATCACTCACATCAGGCGTAAGTTTAGTGCCTGTGGAAGTTTGTGTGTGTGATACAAATACAAGAGTTTTCAGGAGCAATTTTATCTTTATCTACGGATAGCTATATTTATTTGTGTACAATACAGACAAGCTCTTTCTCTCCTGTCGCCTTATCACCAGAAAATTGTGTTGTGTTTGATAAGCACGTGGTAACATGTCGAGAGTTAGTTAACGTTAGTGGGTCAGTAGGCTGGAGGACAGAGTAAATATGTAGAGTAAGGGTTACTGGCCTTTCGGATAAACTCGATTTGGTAACTATTTGCTTACATTTTCAGATTAAAATGTGAGGGGTGCACAATGCAAAGGGTGTTGTTGGGTAAGGAGTAGGCCTGTTTCGGGGTTGGGAATACGGCTATTGAAAAAACCAGCATATGCTGGTTAGGTATGTTTTGACGCTGGGATGCTGGTTTAAGCTGGTCCTTTGCTGGTTTGTGCTGGTCCTTTGCTGGTTTTAGCTGGTTTATGCTGGTCATGTGCTGGCAAAACTTAAACCAGCAAAGGACCAGCACAAACCAGCATCCCAGCGTCAAAACATACCTAACCAGCATATGCTGGTTTTTCCAATAGGGATCTAGCGAAAATCTAATTTTAATCCTTTTCTTACGACCCTATTAAACGTACAAGAGAATGAGCAGGTATAGGCTACTGTACATAAAGCGTACAAATGCAGAAAATTACCAGATGTTTGCAGAATGTATATCCTTTGACCTTATTACATTTGTGCATCGCAGAGCAAACGAAAGAGACGACGTCGACGTGAGAAGTTGCGGAGAATTGTTCAAACACTGAAGATGGAAGATGCACACACTATTAGTGACAGATCTGAGACCTTATGTGTGGTGAAATTCATCATTACGAAAGGATAGTCTTCAGAGTGTGTAGCGCTGAAATAAATTGCTACCAAAATACACCACTCAAGTAGGTTAATTCTTGAGAGAAATGAGTCACAATTCAAATGAGTCATAATTTTAATTGTCAAAAATTTAAATCAGTCCCAAATTAATGTATGCAATTTGTCCAAAGGGGAAATTATGTGATGCCTACTTGAGCCCATAAAGCTTCCTGTGATTAAAATAAGTGCAAGAAATGTGATAAACATGCTCCCTGATAGCACACGTACATCACGAAGACATCTATTTGACGTCTGCATTTACATCAGCAAGACATTTTTTTTGTGTGTTTGCTCATCTGCAATACCTTTATAGGACGTTTCCTATTAGATGTCAAATAGATGTCTTTAAGATGTTTATGATTTAGAATGTATGTAAAACTGACATCTTATAGACGTCTGTCAGATGTTTGTACACAGCAGATGCTCTCCAGATCAAGTGATCATTTACAGACATCTCACAGACGTACGTGTGCTATCTGGGCTAAACACTTTTTTTTTTCCCATCAAAATTAATTTTTCTATGGCAAGTAAAATTATTCGCTTTATTAATATATAGCCTAAATGTTTGTAAATATATCATCAGGCATTTTTGTCACTAATCAATAAATCACTAATCAATAAATGTGTGCACATTTTTTGGATCCAAATGCAGGAACTAGTATTTGTTTCAATATTATTTGATTTCATTTCTTGCTTAGACAGCTTAAAGGTGGGGTAAACGATTTTTCAAAAACGATTTAGAAAACTGATTCGGGCCGAATAGCAAAACAAACTTGTAGCCAATCAGCAGTAAGGGGCGTGTCTACTCATGATGTGGAGGAGAGAGTGTTCAGTGCACAGGACATATAGCGAGCCGAGCGACAGAAAGATAGAGATGGCGGATAAAAAACAAAAGAGGAAAACGTCTATGGAACAAAAGAAGGTTTAAGGCAATAAGGCAAGAAGTAGGACCCGTGCAAATATCGGCTCAGCTTTCCAGCGCTGGAGAGAACTCAAGGAGCGGGAGGTCTGCGATCAGACACAGAGGTTGCTTTGTTTCTTCTCGATAGGTGAGTAACACAGTGTCTGCGCCACAACAGCTAAAGTCTGTCTATTACACTGGAGGTGAGCGTGATTTCACCAATAACTTTTCAGGAAATGTCAGTTTTAGGCTTACAATCAGGATTAGGTGCTTCTACACCCTTGTTAATCAGCTATCATTTCCCTCTGATTTTAGGAATAAATTATGGGTAAGGTTAAGTTTAGGGGTAGGGATTGGGTTAAGTCTGTATTTTTTGACAGTAGTGTTGATCCAGGATCAACAAAAGATGTTGATCCAGGAACATGTCTTACTTGGCAAAATCACGGCGACCTACATTGGACGCGACAAAGAGACCTTTGAAAATCATTTGAAATTTGTGTCAGTACATCATTGATAGAACACAGCAGCAGTTTTCTGTCTGGGATTTGTCGTGTCGTGCCACGCCGCATCCAGTGTAGACACATATATACATATGTATATATATCTATGGTGTAGACAGCATCACTGATTATAATGAGTTCCATAGTATTTTGTCGCACCGCACCACGGTGTAGACACGGTGTAACATTGGTTTTGCTTTGTTTCACAGAACTAATCGTTGCCTGGGTTGCGTATGTGTGTGGGGCGGAGCTATCAAAATAGGGGCGAGACCCTTTTGGGGTAGGGGCGTGGTTGTTTCGTTGATTTCAAATGTCAACATTGGCTACCAGAAATCGCTTACCCCACCTTTAAGTAAAACTATCTACTATCCTCCTACGTATTTATTGTAATGCTGCTCTTGAAGGTTTATTTTTTCAGTTTTAAGAATGACAACAAATATTCTTTATTTCAAAAACTTGGCAACTTTATTTACAATTCAAGTCAGTCACATGCAACATATTTTAATGAATATAACACAAAATTAGCAAAAGGAAAAAAAAAGCATTTTTGCATTTTTTTTATTTTCTTCAAAATGTTGATTAAATATACAAAAATATAGTTTACAAATACTGTACAGAAAATATTCTGCTGCAGAATTCTTACTTTTACAAACATGTTTGTGAGATTCACAAACATTAGCAGTGTTAAAACAAGATTGGTAAGAAGGGGAGGGCTCATGTTCACATCTGTGAGGTCACAATAGTGAGGGGTGGATTAGGTTATCTCAGAATGAGGCAAAAGAGTGGTGTGAGGAGTTTAAAGAACATGTCCAATTGGCATGGTGGTTCATAATGACTTATGAATGGGATAGTTGATACATTGGCAGTTAAGTTTTGATAGAAATGATAAAACATTTTTGAATTACGTCATGTGCCTTAGTGACTCTTGACCACATTCTATGAAACGACTACTTTACAACAGAATAATACTGCCAATATCTTTCCAACAGCCTTTTTTTCCAACAATAAAATCTTTATCTAGTCTAAAAAACCTGTTAGGAACAAACCGAAGTTGCAAAGTTGCAACTGAAATCGTAATTTTGCCTTTTCAAAATACAACTGGTCAACCAGATATGGCACTCGCAGTAATGATCAGTAGAAAACATTAGTTTGAATATATTGAGCAAAAATTTTACCTATCCCTCCATAAACATGCTAATTTGACCTCCAGTTTTCTAGATATGTTTTGAAACTGATTGTGGATTTTGAAAATAGCTTTTAACAATCTCCACAAAGCCTTAATCTGCATTTGCACTAACGTAGAGCTGTTAGTACTACTGAAATGTTACGGGTTTTAAACATAAGCACACAATAAATAACTTTTTTTGTTGTTGTTGCCCCATTTCAGTTCTGCCTCAATGGAGAGGCACCAAAACAGAAGAATATGAAAAAGTGCAGTAATGTAATTCTTGAGTTTAGACACAATCAACTACTTTCACATTATATTGACACAGTTGAACCACAGCTCTCTATATGCATCCATTCGTGATCAGAGTGACACTTTAAGACCTGCTGTGTTACAAACGCCACAGAGGTGAAGAAGAGATCCTAAATTAGGACTCAACAATATTTGTCCATGATAAGGGATTACAAGTCTAAAGGAAACCCTCAGTGTTTTACATTTTGACAGTACAGAGCAAACCAAACAACAACAACAACAAAAAGCCAAAAGAAACGTCTTTTCATTTATTCATACATGAAAACATTTAAATAAATTAAAATTAAATAAGCTCAACTTGATTCACAAGCTGAATCTAGCCTTTCAAAGACACGAAGATACATTGCAGAATGTGGTGGGCAGTTTGCTTGGCAATGAATGCGTAGTAAACCATTCAATCAGCACTTTAAACCAAACCAGCGCTGATTTAGTTTAGGTTTCAATAAAACATTACTTGCTTCAGATAATTCTGCTTGGCATCAAAATACATTTTTCACATCTGGCATCGTTTGTGGTGTTGTGGTCAGTTCGTATATGTAATATCATACATATTTCCCTTCTACAGTGGCTTAACATGGAGGGCTCAGAGACCCAGCAGGACCCTATGGCAGGTTGGTGGAATGACCCTGCAAAATAGCTGTATAATAGAGCAGGAAAGAGCCAGAGCTTCTATTATATTACATAGAATAAAGAATGGCCTTTCCTGCCGACTGAATCCACCTGCTGGTCATTGATCTTAATGGCTGAGGATTCTGTGTTGTGCTGGATTCATTGAAAGAGGCTGGAATGATAAAGACTAGATTGTGTATCCGACTTCAGGTCAAATCTTAGTTTGTTTCTGTAGCATGTCTAGTTTTATTTGACTCACTAGTGTGGCATTTCATTTATTAATATTTCTTGGAGACAGATCTGTGGCTTTAGGCCAAGCATATTTTCAGAAACAGACCCTCCCCCCCCCCACCCCACTAATACTACTATGACTAATACTTTAACTATGAAGACTTCAGTGTTTAGAGCAGAAAGTGTGGGGTGGCATAATAGGATTTGCATCTAAAAATTAAATGTATTATATACACACACATATATATATATATATATATATATATAGGTTATGTTCAAATTCTCATCGAATACGGCCTTGAACTCAAATGTACTGACGTGTGTGTGCGTGTGTGTGTGTATTTAACACAGCCCTCAGTTAAAAAGCATTTCAAATATAAAGACGTCCACAGATCAGATACTGCTGGGTCACATCCTGGCCTTAATAAAACAAACTCTGCATTCACATTTGTTTTGGCCATCAGCTAAAAGTCGCTGCGAACCGTATCTATTGATACAGCCATTCTACTGACCGTCAATACATAAACACTCACAAACACAAACATATACACACTAGAGAGCTGCTATCCCTTTAATATACAGTATAAACTTAACCCTCTCTAATGAAAATAAAACCAATGGTTTGCTCTGTGGCTCTAAAAAAGTTTGAAATCATAAAATATAAAACAAGATCTTGCTACTATCACAAGCAACTAGGTTTGAGTTTTGTGTAAAGTGCTTGTTAAAAAAAAAAAAACTTTAGTTAAAAAAGTAGTTTCTGTTTTTTAATGTATTTTTAACGTTATTTTTTTAGGCTTTGTCTTTTATTTGCCTCTCACTGGTGTCCTCAAAAAAGTGCTTTGGTGTGGAACAGTTACTTTAATCATGGCTTGGCCAAGTAAACTCAATTCTTCTTCATTATCCCACAGGAAAAAAAAAAAAGCTAAACCCAAAAAAGATTAACATTGAGTAAATCATCTATTATTGTAATTTGGAAAAAATAAATCCTTTGTAAAGCCACCAAGGCAGAACATGAACATATGCAGGTCACAGGTCACCGTGGCTCCGGGCACAAATCCTGTGCTCTGTCCTTGGATATGAGCATGTACCTGTACAGGAGGGAGTGTGAAGGTAGTGGTGGTCAGATTTTTAGGAGAAACAGGAGGGGGCTACACCAGGTTCTCCACTCCGGGCAGAGGCTGCTGCAATGGGGGCACAGATTCGGACATGCTCTGCTGCTGCGCCAGCTGCAAGACGGGCATGTTGCACAGCGGGCAAACCTTCCTCACCTCCAGCCATTTAATAAGGCACCTGAGACAGATACAAAGAGGGTTTAGAAGATGAAAGGCCAACTTGATAATAATCTGCCCCAAATTTCCCAGATCACAGTAGAGTATCCCACTACAAAGAGACTCAGTTAACCCAAACTACCAATAATGCTCCTGATCTAAAGCAAGTCTAAAGTGATCTCATGTGATGTCTCGGGGCTGGTTGTGTGTCTTCTCCTCGCAGGAAGCCCATGTGGAATGTGAGACTGAATCTCGGGTTAGTCTGAGTGAGATGTTGCTATCTCTGCACTGATGAATTATTCACTGTAAGCACCGTTCTATTTTAGGCCGTGTTGGTCCCATCAGGAACACAAACAGATCTATGATACAGAAGTCCCTATTTAACCACTTGCACAGTTGGGATGTAGGAGCAATGAGGGTTCTTTTTAGGAATTTTATCCATTTTATCATTTTAAAATTATTTATATTTATAGTTTTAATAATATTTTTATTTCACAATTGAATCATACTGATAAAAAAACTCTTAAACTTCCCTGTATTTCAATAGCAACCCATTATAATCAATGTGCGTCCAACAATAATAGTATTAATAACACTAATGTTTATCCATTTCATAATTATTTTATAATTTCAATCATTATTTATATTTACAGTTTTAATAATATTTTTATTTAACAATTTATTCATACTGATTAAGAAAAACCTCTGTATTTCAATAGCAGTCCATTATAATAAATATGCATCTAAACAACAACAAAAATAGTAATAGTAATAATAATAATAATTGATATATTTCTTCATTTCACTAATTATTTTAGAATTCCAATCATTATTTATATTTACAGTTTTAATAATATTTTTATTTCACAATTGACTCATGCTAATTGAGAAAAACCTCTCTGTATTTCAATAAGTCCATTATAATCAATATTCATCCAAACAACAACAATAATATTTTATCCATTTCATAAATTTTTATAATTTAAATAAGTATTTGTTTACAATTTTAATAAAATTTTTATTTCACAATTGATAATTGAGAAAAACCTCTCTGTATAAGCCCATTATAATCAATATGCATCCAAACAACAACAATAATAATAATAACAATTTATCCAATTAGTCATTTTAATGATTATTTTGTAATTTTAATAATCATTTATATTCACAGTTTTAATATTTTTATTTCACTGACAGGTTTTCTGTCCTTTATTAATGGTTCAAAGTATCATTTTAAATCCTCTAAAGGATCATGTAATGAAAGTGACAGAGGAATTTTAGGGGGATTTTTCATGGGCATGTCCTGCAGCTCATATATCATAGAGCGTGACATGCAAATGATATGTATCGAGTGATTTAGCGTCACTTTATATTATATTTTCATGTAGTTTATTTGGGGCCTAATTTTATAGCACACATTGTGGCCATACTGCATTGATTCTAAAATAACAAATATATATATATATATATATATATATATATATATATATTAATTCATGTAAAAATTAAAATATTCATTAAATAATTAAATACTATCATATTACCAGTTTACCATTTAATATCTGACTTCACTTCAGTGACCCATTTAAGCTATAAAGATTGGCTGGATTCAAATAGAAGCAAAGTACAATGTTGAAATGTTGAAATGTTCCCCACCCCTCTGATAAGTGTCCAAGCATTGCTCTGACATTTACTTTGGCATTTACTCTGACATACAGCCCAGTGCAAATGTTTAAAAAAAAAAAAGTGGTGAAGAAGATGGGTGAGTCAGACACATTTCAACTAGATCAATGGCAGAAGAACCCATGCCACACTGCAAATTTGCATTTAATTTAAGGTTTTAAATGGGCACTTTATGTAATCTATGCCACTAGCAGAATTGGGATTTCTAAAACAATCAATTTTTTTAAGCGGCCAGCACTACGTATCTGCCACTGTTCATCAAACAGGTGGTCCAACCTCAAACTCCAGTGTTATTTTTGGCCCAGCTGGGTCGCTCAAACAAACAAAAAAATTGTTTGGTGCTGCTAGCGGTGCAGAAATTTCCCTCTTTTTAGAAAACAACATATGCCAGGGTACTCACTTTCTGTGAAAGGCATGTTTACACGGGCAGATTCCCAACTCATCTTTCTGCTTGAATTCCTCCAAACACACCGCACAAATCTAGGGAGAGAAAACAATACATTCCAGTGAACACACAGATAAAATCTTTAAATATAAACATGTTTGCCTTCAAAGATGAAAATTGTTCCATTGAATACACTCAGCAAGTTATTACAAGAAATGGACGATATCACCTTCAAAGATCAGTGAGACTGGAAGATATGTTGTAGTGCAGTATTCATGAGAACTTTATGATAGACATAAGATCGATATGCCTGAGAACATTTCTTTTAAGGCTTTTCTATCATATTTTTGCCATGAAATGGACTATACTTGAAAAGTTTCTTTTGCAATCTAGCAGTGAGGTGTAGCAGTTGGGGGTGCAGATATGACATTTCGTTTCGACATTTCGTAAAAAAATTTTAAAAATCGTGGAAAATCAGTTCAAGTGCAGCATTTTCTGACTGCTGCCTAACATGTCGAGACCTAGTGCTGTAGGAGGCAAGTCAAACACTCTGATTATCTGTCTCACATCAGAGAGTGGAATTCTGTGGACATTTGGACTTAATTAAATGCTGATGTAATCTGGAGGTAGGCAAAAGACTCCGGTACTGGCTATTCCACAGAAGGCTGAGGGCTAACAACAGCTAGTTCCTTTGATAAAGTAGCCAATAAAATTCAGAGGAATGTATAAGAAAATGAAAAAAACTAATCTGAGGAAAAGCCAAATAGCAAGACAGGATGTACCAGGGTAAAGATATTAAACCAGATGCAAACATTGCTAAAAAAAATATGAATGTTATGTATTTCCAGAAAGAATGCATTTTTTTTCCCTTCCCCCAAAATTTCACAACATTGTACTATGGTTACAATCAGGTAACAATGTAGAACATTTTAAATGTAAACTGTACATTTTAAACAATTACTAAAGTGTAATAATAATACAACCTATGTACAAAAGGCTCGGCTGTCTCTAAGTCACGGATTATTCTGACCAATCAGAATGTTCAGCGCGGCTGCAATGTCACCACGGAAGGCGGAGCTGAATCACAGGCTAAAGAGAGACACAGCAAATGTGAGAAGATAGAGTTTGGCAGCTGTATTCTAGTTCATTCAGAGTTACTTTAAAGACCACATTGACTTCGAGTTTATACTGGGTTACAGTGTGCGTACATGTGAAGTAAGTGATCAGCTGTTGTTCTTGTACCGATTGAGGAGTGGCCGGTTGGCATGGCGCTGCCTGTATTGCCTGCTCGATTCAGTGCATTCGCGAGTATTTCTGTGATATTCCTCGCTGTGAGATACTTATATGCTGTACATTGTGTTATTATTGAATATTAACCTTATCATTGTGTGTGCGCGTTATGCGACGGTTCTTGTTTGCATGTAGCAATCATCCAATTAGTCCATATCCAGGCATGTTACCCTATAGTGCACAATATAGGCACGTGCTATGACTGACGCAGACCGCACACACAAACACATGCTGAATTAACTGTGACTGCCTGTGATGAGGAGATTGTGAATTATAATACCTATCTGTAATAATAAAGTAATAAAGTTAAAACTGATATGTTCCATAGCTCATGTTATACAGGACACCTTCCAGAACTGTGTACAAAGTAAATATTTCATTAACCTTGCTGACAGCAAATAACGGGGCAGGGAAATGCACAATTGTGCCAATTGTAAAAGAACAACAGTGGTTTCGGACAAATGTGCCTGGGCACATGTGTGTCCGTCACAACAGTTATTTACTGTTCTGTGTGTGTATCATAAAACAAGATATAGTTCAGTATACAGTCCGAGTGCTTTAGGTGTCAATGGCCCTGAGCAGGGGGTGGCTGGTGAATTATCGAGACACAATGCTTCTCTGTTTGAGACGAGCTAGACTGCAAGCACATGTCTCGCAAGAGATTGTCTGCTGAATATACACTGTTGGGTTTTGTGAGGAAAGAATGGCATTAACTGGCCAGCAACGGAAAGAATGTTTCTTCAGAACACTAGACATGTAGCTAAATCCTGCACAAAACTGACAGTGCCTTGCCTTCACTATTGTGTTTTATACTCCAAACAAGGCCAGTCTGGTTATAATAAATCATCCAAGCGTGTCATTCTCATCATGGATATTAAAGTTAAATAAAAACAGAACTAAGACTAAAACAGAAAAAAAGTTCCTTGAAATAAAATAATCATTAACCAAAATAAAATAAAATAAAATATAAAAAATAAGCTTATTTTATTTCAGCTAGTAGACAAGGCAAAATTTCACATTTCTGTCTATATTATATTATATTAAGTTGAAGTAAAATAACTAAAACTTAAAAATACTGACATATATTGTTTTTGTCAATTTATTAGTTTATATATATATATATATATATACACTAGTGCTATCAAATAATTAATCACATCCAAAATAAAAGTTTTCGTTTACATAATATATGTGTATACTGTATATATTTATTATGTATATATAAATACACACACATACAGTATATATTTTGAAAATATTTACATGTATATACATTTATATATTTATATTCTTATATTTTATATTATATATACGTATATTTAATATGTAAACATAACATATTTTTCTTAAATGTATACATGCATGTGTTTGTATTTATATATACATAATAAATATATACCGTACACACACATATATTATGTAAACAAAATACTTTTATTTTGGATGTGATTAATCGTTTGACAGCACTAATATATATATATATATATATATATGTGTGTGTATATATATCATCCTGGGCCTCTTTTCCTCCTGTCTGCTAGGCTTCTGAATTGAAAGGACCACCTCTGCAGTGGCTCCCCGGGGTCTTTCTTACCAAACGGAAATAAGTATTGCTCGGTCCATTTCACACTGTGTTTCTCATGTGTTTGATCTCTCACCTAGAGAGCTGCAGCTATGCACAAGTACAATAAAACACAAACCACAGTTTTATTTCCGACCGTTTCACTGCAGTGGAATTACGCACAATAAATCTTACTCACTGATGCTGTGATATTTATGTCCATGCTTTTCTCACTGGTTGCCATCTGAGGATCCATATCTTGGCAACCGTCTGGCACATATGCACCAGTTCTGCACCAGTGTGTTTGCACATCAATCATCCGTGCACAAGCTCTACCGTATAAAGTGTCTGTGTATATAATCACCTTATAGGAAGGGTACTTAATGTTTCGAGAGCTGAGATTATATTCACTCGCCTGGCGCTGTATCTTATGTAAGCTCAAGGACGAGGTGATAGAGCAGTGTGATGCTGTATAATTCTGCTTATGAAGTCAACTATAGCCAGATCACCTTTCACACTCATGGGGGGTTGAATTTAAAAGCCGAGGCTACATGCTGTGGTCGGACACTCATCAATTCCTGGAGAAAGTGGATCACTCATCAAAAGTGGAGAACAATTCATAGCATTACTTCAGCCAAAAGTGAAAATTCTGTCATCATTTGCTCACCTTCAAGAAGATATTTTGCAAGTCAGTGGTGGACAACATTGGATTTCTAAGTCATTCAGATTTGGAACGAGTCTGAGAAAATGACGACAGAATGATATTTTTTGGTGAACTATATTTTATGGTAATATCATAGTTTATGATATTTCAGAACCATCTATGTTCCTCAGGGTAGCTTTGCATGGCTGTGCTGAATGTTTGTAACCTCTAATTATGCTAGTGAAAATCTCTCATGCCTGTGGTATACAATCATAGCATTGTTTTTCCCCCCTTTGGCTTGTGTGCACAGGATAGAGGGTCCAATCAGCTTGTAGCTCGGCCCCACCGCTTTATTTAAGACCTTCCTTCTTGTCTGAGCACGCATACAAGTGCAAACCAGACTTACAAGTACAGGCGAGGGGACTACCGACCCATTTATTTTCAGTTCCACGAATGCCCTCTAGAAACCTGTTTGTGGGAATGCGTTGTCTAATAAGTATAATGGCTTGAAGAATCCCCAAACCACACGTTATGCAAAAAAAAATAAAAACCTTGCAAAACCATTGCAAAAATAACATAAAAAACCCCTGAAAAACTGAAACTAAAATAACATACTTGAACCTGCTTATCAAATGCATTTTATTTTTAAGATAATATATATATGAATAAATTTGAATGTAATTTTGAATGTATAACAATAATTAATATTTTATATAATATATTAGAAATCACATATATAGTTTTTATTTAGTTTTATGATTTTATTTCGCTTTATTTTATTTAGTTATATAAATGTCAAAAAATCTGAATAATTTTTATAGTTAGACATGATGTTTATATGTGCGTGTGTGTGTGTGTATATATATATATATGCATATATATATATACACACATACATACATATACTAAACTAGTAAACAAAAGCTAATAGTGCCAAAGCGAAAACTAAACCAAATTTAAAAGAACAAAATGAAAATAGTCATAAACATGAAATTCAATTTTTAAAAATATAATTACCCTGACCTGTTAAACTTGTTGAGTCATTATAAACAATGCTCCTATATGCTGTAGTTTACATTAGAAATAAAGAAAATTAACACTTTTTTCTGCACAATTTATGCTGTAATTTTGCAGTAAAATCTTTAGAATTTTATATGGTGGAATGGATTTAAATACAGTTAAAAATAGCTGAGGGTACTAAAACATTATTGGTTGCTTAAAGCATAATCAAATCAGCCTGGCTAACAGATAATGTTGCCTAACAAAAAGATGGGAGCACCTGCAAAATGGTGTTTAAACAATAAAACATCTTTTGGAAAAAAAGAGCCAGTATCAGGCTCATTGATGAAAGTGTTTCCTCAAAGCGATTTGTGAAAAAAATCCATATCAAATATAAAACCTTGAGTCTGACAAATGAGTGTCATGACTGCTGGTGCAGAAAGTCCAACAAAACATGAAGAAATACCATAAAAACTGAGTTTACAAGTGCAGCTGACATTTGCTTGGCACTTCTGGGCAGTTCTGACCGTTTTCAGGTGCTATTTCAAAAGATATGACTAATATAAAATCACGGACAGTACTGTTAATATTGATGACACCTCTAGCACTTCTAGTATTAGACTAGCTGCTGGGAGAACTTTGTGTTCCTTTCCAAGATAAAATGTTACTATTTTGATTGTGATGCAGTTGAACAAACTTGTATCATGCATACAACTTGCAACTGCTGTCGCATCAAATACAAATGAAAAAAGCCAGATGTGACACATGAAGCCAAGTTTTCTAACAAAATATAGCCTAACTCAGTTCAGCACAACACTGTAATTTTTTTGTATTCATGCACATCCACATATACAGTAGCTGCCTGCTCTTTGTAGAGGAATATCTAACTTTAGCCATAATGCTGAAAAGTACAATAACCTTAAAATGAAACTATTCCTCGACAATGAACTCTTACGAGATACAGGAAGGGAGTGAAGGGCTACGAGAAATTCCAGGACAATTTGAGGATTCAACAAGAGCTCTGGTGTCCTCACACCTCAATATTGTCGCTAACATTTCATTAGCACTCACATATGAAGTCGGACACTGGCCTATTAACACGATCATGTACAAACCATCTCGGTGAAGGTTAAACACGCAATAGACTCATGCTATTATTAAACATGGAGAGCGTACAGTACAAATCCTGTAAAAGGTCCTTATGTTCAGGGCAAAGGGTAGCTCAGGTTTAACAGTGTATTCTGTAACCACTGAAAGGTACAATGTAACTGATATTCATGACCAAGTGTAATGTCACACAGTGATAAATAACAGTGCTTATCTAAACATTTTATTATAAAAATACACAAAATACCAGAATTTGAATCAATTAATCACTTCTTTTTGAATTGGTTCATTTACTATATAAAACGCTGTAATAAAGCAGTTCTTAAAAATAAATTTGTCTTTCCAACACTCAAAACATGGCCATTTAATCGATGAATCACTACTCAAGATATATAGGCTCTATATATATATATATATATATATATACATATATATATATATATATATATAATCTTTTTTTCTGCTCGTTTCCCAAATATACTCCAAAATGTTTTTTATAGAGTATTACCTTATTACTTTTTTACATTGCTTTATTAATTTGTATTACTATATTACTTGTATATACCTCTTTTTACTTTCATTAATGATTTTTGCTGTAAGATGTCTTTTAATTTTCATGGGCTACATCACAGCACATTTTTAATACAAAAACAAAAACCACTTTCTGGCCAATATACATCATGTAATCATCTCAGAAAATGAGTAACAATCAATCAATCAATCAATAAAAAAAAAATCCTGCAGAGTTGAATGAAAGGGAAAACTCACCTCATGCAAGTTTAATTCTTTGACCTTTTCCTTCTGAATAACCTGTAAACAAAAAATAACAATAAGTTATTAAATGCATTTACAGTAATTCTCAATTGCAATTTGGAAACTCAGTCTATAAACTAAACATTTGAAATTGCATGAGAAACAAACAGAGACACTCCCATTCACACCCAAGTGGAATCATACAGTAAATCATGTACAGTTATATAATAGAGTAGAGAGTTTGAATAGATAAGTCAGCGGCTCACCTGCTTGTATGCATAGAGTTCTTTGTGTGCCTGGTGCCGTAACCTAGACAAAAGACATCTTTGTTTTAATTCAGAGAGTGACATAACATTTTTTTTAAAAACCTGTGCTGGAGAGACATTTATATTACCAAATTATATATAAACAAAACCAAGATCATCAAGTTGAACCATGATACTAAATTACAGGCCATTTTAAATGGCAATGGTTTTCATAGGGTTTCATGGGTGTGAAAAATTCATTGTATTTGCATCTGGACCTCAGTTTATATATTCCAGCTGTATTTGGTCAACACTTGCCTGGATCTTATATTTCAGTCATTATTTGACAAATTGCAGCCTTCGCTACCCATAAGGTTTTACTCCAGTCATTCTGAACATACATAGTATACATTATATCCACCACATTTGAGCTTAAATCACACAATTCAACTTTTAAACACATTGACATCCACTTCCTCTTGACATTGGCTGCGTCCAGTTCTAGAGTCTTTCTAGAGTAGTTTGGGTTTTGTATTGTCTCATCAAGCTTGACCACACTTTAACAGTCTGTCTGAACCAGACTGCTCAGGCACTACCTACGCACACCGCTGCAATGCTTTACAAAGTGTGACTTGTCAGACTGGAGCCAGACCATTTAAAAGAACTATACAGATACTCTTGGCATGAACTCAAGAAATGGAGGCAGCCAAGCAATGGACAGTCTACATTTAACAATATTTTGATCTTGAGCAAGTGTGTGTGTCACAGACAGAGAGAGGGAAAGTGAGAGAGGAACCCTGATGGAAAATAACTGGAATGCATCAGGCATGATGGAAGAGTCTCTAGTGTAAGAAAAAGGCTATTTAAAGGAAACCAGCAAATGCCTTACACACTATGTTTAGCCACTAATTTGTGAACACTGAACTGTTAATGTCTGCAGGGCTGTTAGAACATTAGTATTAGTCCAATAGCTTTATTTTGGCCTTTTTTGAATGTTTGTTTGCTGAATCCCTTTTCATTTAGATATGACATAATACTTTCAACCAATATTACTTCCTGTACAAAGGAAATAAACACAACAAACACTGCAGTATCTTACAATCACCTCCTTAGCAAAAATTTACATAGCTGATTCAAGACAATACAGTTTACATTCAGAAAAGACTTAGCAAGTGAAGAAAGAGCTGGATAGATATGAGAAAAATGGAGACATGTATTGTAAAATTTACCTCCATTACAAGTAAGCTTAACCTCTCGCAGCAGAGTGAGAGGGACCTGTAAAACAGGCAGCACAGTCTAGGAGAGAAACTGACATTCTTAAAGAGACCAGCAGGTAAAGGTGCAGATACTCCCTTTGGGGGAATTTAGGGGTGAGGATGAGGCATTTATGTGTATTTTAGAATTTTTTTTGGCATGCATAAACAATCAAAGACAAAAAAGCCCTGGCACTAATGTTGCTGTCTAAAGGGCCATACAAATGAATTTGTTTTTGAATTTAAAAATGCACAACGCAGGGCAGTGGTATGAAATTTGTTTTTTTAAACTGAACTTTTTTTTTACCTTAAAGGGATAGTTCACCCAAAAATTCTGTCATTAATTACTCACCCTCATGTCGTTCCAAACCCGTAAGACCTTCATTCGTCTTCAGAACACAAATTAAGATGAATTGTTTTTGACGAAATCCAAGACCTTTCTGACCCTGCGTAGACAGCAATGTAATTAAAATATTCCCAGACCCAGACACGTATAAGGACATCATTAAAATAGTCCATGTGACATCAGTGGTTCAACCTTAATTTTACAAAGCTACAAGAGTACTTTTTGTACACAAAGAAAACAAAAATAACTTTATTTAACAATTATTCTTCTCCAAATCACGTCATCCGCCTTTAACTCTTTCCCCGACAGCATTTTTGAAAAAAGTTGCCAGCCACTGCCAGCAATTTTGATGATTTTCACTAAAATTTGATGGCCTCCAGAATATTTTGCTGTATGAATATTTGAATATGCAATACACCAAAATAAAGTTCAGAGGCTCTACTTTTAAACAAAAAAATCGAGTTTATTCTAGCTTAAAGCATTCTTTTTTTATCAACACTTGAATATAGGTAGGTTTCATAAAAATGCATAATTTTGAGCAAAAAGGTGAGAAAATCACATTTTTATCACAAACTACATCTGAGTAATATTCAGTACGATTATCAAAGCATAAATCCAGTAAATCGCTTCTATCAACACCTCCAAAGCTTGCACAGACATATACCACTTCCTGGATCAACATTTTACTCCGTAACATTATGCAGTTTTCATTTATATGCTGCCATTGCTGATGATCGCATTATTTTTCATATGCATCTGTTTACATAAGAGATCGCTCGTTTCTCCGTCCTGTTCATGTGTGTTTTTTGTTCGGGAGGCTTTGTACTCGTTCAGAAGATGTGTAATAGCGCCCCCGAGTGTATAACAGTGAAAACAAGAAAAGCCATAAAAACTCGTCTTTGGCGGGGAAGCGTTGTCTTCTAAAAGACGAGATAACTCGTCAATGGCGGGGAAAGAGTTAATGAGAGTACCACAACGCATACTTGTGCATTCCTCTGCATGTAAACAAGGCACAGCACATATTCTCGCAACTTCCTAAAATTACAGTTGAACCACTGATGTCATGAACTATATTACCGATGTCCTAAATATGTTTCTGGGTATGGGAACATTTCAGTTACATTGCTGCCTATGGAGGGTCAGAAAGCTCTCGGATTTCAACAAAAATATCTTAATTTGTGTTCCGAAGATGAACAAAGGTCATACGGGTTTGGAACAACATTTTCATCAGAATTTGTTCAACAGAATTTTCATTTTTGGATGAACTATCCCTTTTAAGCGAACCATTTTTAGAATGCCATGTCATGCGCAAGACACTGCAAAAAGATGTGGGTGCAATGGTCAAACACGTCCACCTACCGCATGTTTACAAAGGAAAATGCAAAAATGTTTTTTTGTGTTAATAGAACCTGAAGTCGGTGGTGGCTGGGCGAAAGTAATCACGGACCATTCGTTCTTCAAAGCAAAAATACAATAATAATGTGAAGGGAATGCAAAATAACAAGATATTCATAATCATGGCCAAAATCGTACAATGTATTTTGGTCTAGTTTCTGAGGCTAGCTAGGTCAAGAGAAACTGTCTCTTGATTGCTCATGATTGCTCACGCGCTATTAAGGTAGTGTTATAGTTCATCACATAGAAAAGCACCTTATGACCATTTCCCTGCATTGTTAAATAACCGGTATGTCACAGTGAGTGCTCAATCTCAAATGTGTGTGTGAATTTAATTTTTCTTCCCATGAGGATGACCGCGCCAGACAAACACTCCTGCACCCGCCTGTTTTCTTCTCCAAGTGTGTGTTCGCTATTCACGGGGGCATTTCACATTTGTGTGTCGGAGCTGGTGCATGGCTGCTACGTGCGGCTGCGTGTTTGCTCTGAATCACGACGTCCTTCACAGGTCCACTCGAGCTCACGACTCTTTTGTCTTTCACGTCGTGAATGTCCACAGAGACGCACGACTACAATTTGATGGTCCTTTGTTCAGTCTGTGATTTTCCAGATAAAATAGCAGTTTAACTTAACAGGTCAAGAGACCAGCTCCAGACCTCAATAATTTCATCTTGACTTTAAAAGGAAAGCATCTTTTACGTTGAAATCCCTGCTGAAAAGACCAATTTCATGCTTGTCTTGCTGGTGGACCAGTATATTCATAACTAGTTATAGGAGGATTAGTTTTAACAAAATTGAAGATTCTGTCATCTTTTCTCACCCTCATGTTTTAAAACCCACACTCTCTTTCTTCTGTGGAACACATGGGAATTTTTTTTTTTTTTTTTTTAATAATGTACTGGTCACCTTTTCCAGTGCATTCACAATAAAATGGGACTGGAGCTCTCAAGCTTCATAAACGATGCACAAAAAAAAAAAGTACCTAAGATGTGGTCCATACAACTATATTCCAAGTCATCTGAAGCCATACAGTAAGTTTGCTATAAAAAAAAGGCTGAAATGTTCATTCATGTTCATTGCCAGGATATTCTTCAAAAATACACTTTTTGTGTTCTACGGAAGAATGTCATACAGGTTCGGAATTACATGAGGGTGAATAATTAACAGAATTTGTATTTTTGCGTTAACTAGTCCAAGTTGGTACACTAGCAACACAGAAATCCCATGCTGGTCACCAGCATTCAAAACACAACATATGCTGGTCTTCTCATTAGGGACGTCTCCACCCTGTCAAAAGCAGCTGTTAAATGATGTAAAAAGCTGTGAATAAGCACTCTGCGCTCTGCCCTATTGTTTCAGCGATGCTGAAGGTATATGTGGAGGTGAAAAATAGCACGCTAAAAATGTAGTGGAAAATGCAGCTGGGTAGAATGGGAGCCTACTATTTTGGTACTTGCTGAATTTGCGATTGTTGCCATTTCTATTATCACCTGCTGGTGTAATGTACAGTGAAAATCTTGCTTGTGCAGTCAACTAAAATAAATACCAGCTATTTTGACATTTTGTTAATTAATGCAATGACGGTAATGCATTTTTAAGTGTGCTTGAAGTGTCCAAATACTTTTTCTGGGGCCACATATTGTTTGTGCATGGGGGCATGACAAATATTTTCTGGCTAATTTAACGAGGAAGTCATGAATATTTGTGAACTAATTACATGCAAGGGAGCCTGCATCTTTAGAAGCCTGGAATCTGGACTAAATACAAACTCTTTTTTATAAATTACTTGGTAATCTGACAGTTTTTTCATTCAAGAATCCAGTGTTTTTTACTGATATGACTAATTTAAGACTATAAAAGGTTAACAAAACAGGTAAACATTTGTAAATGCAGTAAGGGGGAGGTAAAGTCAAATAAAACAGAACTAGTATATAATAAATGGGAAAGAACTTACCATCTTCCCCACTGGTTAGGGTGAATTTGGATAAGAGCCGCTGGTTCTCACTGTCTTATGTAAGAGATGCTACACAATTGCACATTAAAGCTTCAATATCTCTGCTGCCAGGAATGACCACATGACAACAGTTGACAACATCTGACTAGATGACAACTCATTAGCTCAGTAGCTGAAGGAAAAAGAGTTTCTTAAGTTTCATGAAGGGCCAAATATTCCCATTTCTATGTGCTTGCTGTAAAACATCAGTATTCAGTTTGTTTGTTTTTTTTACTGCCAAGTTCATTCTCACTTGAAAAGTAAAATAAAAAATAAAAAATCAATGTCCTTTAAGTTATGAAGCAGCTACTGCAGAGTTCACTCAATCCAAAAGGGAAGTTAGTGACACAATGTGGATTCGACTTCGATTTGTGATTGTGCAACTAAGCTGCTTTGGGTTCAGTTATTGTGAAAATAAGAAGCTTTATATCCAACTACATTGAAACTACAAGCCAAATCCAAGCAGGTAGCTAGTTTGTAATAGTGATTTTTGTTGTCAACTCAGATGATCAAGTCAGCAGTTATCTTAGCTTCTCCAAACTGTGCTGTTTGACCTTCTCACTCTTCATGACAGGCTTTGTTAGTGCATTGAGCATGCACAAAAACTATCAAAAGTAACAATTCCATTTCAGGGACAAGTAATCATGATTTTCTTTCAAAATGCTATACAATTGCCTTGTTGTCTTGAACATGACTTATTTTTATTTTAGAAGCTTAGGACTATATTTACAAGCTGAACACGCCATGCCTAAGAAAATGCTGCTTTGCAATAAAGCTGTTCAGGCATGCCATCAAGACATGGTTTATAGACCAGTTGGTTTAAATGTGTATTTTAAAAGTATAAATGAATAAATGCAAATGACATTATGGTATGACTGTGTCCAGAACACCTGAGAAGAGATGATGCAACCCCTCAGAGGACCTCAGATGATGCCAACCATGAAACAACATACAGAACTACCACATTTTGCTATAAGTTTGATTGCATCATATAATAATTGCTGTTAATATTATTCATCGTCTGTTTTATTACGTTTTATATTGATTTTTCCGTTCTGCTGGTTCGTCTGGTCAGAGGAGAACTGGCCCCCCGCCTGAGCCTGGTTTCTCCCAAGGTTTTTTCTCCATTCTGTCACCGATGGAGTTTTGGTTCCTTGCCGCTGTTGCCTCTGGCTTGCTTAGTTGGGGACACTTCATTTCCGGCGATATCGTTGACCTAATTGCAAAGATATTATTTAAACTGAGCTGGATGTTGACATCACTGAATTCAATGATGAACTGTCTTTAACTGAAAAATGAGTGTTTACTATTGTCACTTTGCATTATTGACACTATTTTCCTAATTAATGCTGTTCAGTTGCTTTGACACAATCTGTATTGTTAAAAGCGCTATATAAATAAAGGTGACTTGACTTGACTTGACTCATTTACAGAGAAGTCTATTTAATGAAATTTTAACAACCAACCTTAATTTACTCATAAATCCAAAACTATATCTAAAATTTCAGAGGGAACCCATTCTGAAACTAAACAGCTCTATTAGAACCAAACAACAACAAACTGTGTTAATGTGTAGGATTAGATTCTCTGTACTTAGCAAAAGTATAAATCAATAAAACTTGCTGATTTACTGTATCTCTACTTCTGTATTGGACAGCCACTAATAAGTAAGGTATGGCTCTGAAATTCAGAGCTGGTTCAGTCTTCAAAGTAAGCATGATAAAAGCTGCCTCACATGGTATGAGCTCGGTGTGAAGATAAAAGAGAACTTCTCCGTTCCATCACCATCTGTCAGCTCTCCTCTATCCTCTCACAGAAGTCTTTTAAACTCCCTACCATTTTCTGAGCACGGTGCATTATGCAGTTGTCTAGATGAACACCAGTCCACACATTTGTGGCATAATCTAAGGCAGTTAGGTGTCAGCACATGAGGTTCATAGATAATTATTACTTTTATATTTGTGGTGTAATTGTGACTTTAATGACGCACATTGGTCCTGTTGGCAACACTCTACACCACACATTCCAACTACACCCACTTGTTCATACTGAGTGAATTTTCTTTTTCATCAACTTCCAAATAACTCTTAAATGTGTGTTAGCTGTTTAATTACAACAGTTCCATTGTGTAGCCTGTATGTTTAAGGATTAAATCAAGACTTTCAAACCGTATAATTTACTGAAGAGAATAAATAAGCAAATCTATGGCATTTTGAGGCTTGTTCAAACACATTTTTCTGTCGCACACATAAGAGCCAGGTGGTCTTACCGAATCAGGTAACAGCAGAAGAGTAGGCTGAGAATGAAGACGAAAATGGCCGTCCCAAAGACCACAATGTAGATATTGAGGGGAAGGTTCTGGAACCCTATATTCGGCATCCTGAAACTGTAATGCTGTAAATCTGAGGTCATGGATAACCTAGAATGAGAGGGAAAGGAGACAAAGACACAACAGTGAGTGATTTATTGATCACAACACTAATGCAAATGCTACATGCCCGTTAGTGTAGTAATCCATTTATGCTGTGTCAGCTCAATCGCAAAGGAAAATAATCACCCTGTCTGCCGATGCATGTATAAGCGAATGTTCTTGTCAGTATGACTGTGATTTGATATGTGGCTTGGCTTGATTTCTGAACTGTTTCCACAACAACTGCTTATGTACCCAACAGACCCATGAATAAACTCATTAATGCATTAAATTGTGCATTGGGCAGTGCATGTAATATTCTAGTGGAGAGAGTTTGAGAACATTGGTCCTGCAGGAGCCATTAAGCAATACCCACACTGTCTGTCTGTGGGAAATTAGTGTTAACTAATCTACTGAGAGTCAGCACAGCTTTGACTTGGTCCCATCTGAGCATGTTTTTATATATATATATATATATATATATATATATATATATATATATATATATATATATATATATTATATCAGATATTCACTTCTGACTGGAAAAAAATACTCAAAATTAAACCCTTAAACTGTTAACAGAAAGATGAATACATTTTCTTGCCAAAATGTAAATTCAGTAATGGAGTACAGTCACCCCCAAAAGTATTTGGACACTTTAGAGTTTCAATTTCAATGTGTTAGAAAAATTAAATGTAAAACGCTGCCAGAGCCAAATGTTTCAAAAGGATAAAACATTAATTCAACTGCATTAATGAAAACTGTTTAATAAAAACACTAAATAATGAAAGAAGACACTACAGGCAAAACCATTGTTTATTCAGGCACTGGACGATTTTGGGCAATTTTGCTTCCATAACTTGTCTTCTTTCAGACTCTAGTGAAAAGAAAACATCCAAAACACACATTTGAGTGTTTGTTTTGTAACAATTTATCTACTTAGATTTCAATTACAATATATCTTTAAAGGCTGTTTTATCAAAATTAGTTGTTTCTCATGCACTAAGCCAGAAATGTCAACATCAGTAGCACTAACACATCAAATATTCCAGTTCTACTCTATATTTTGAAAATTTTTACAGAGGGTTCGATAATATATATATATATATATATATATATATATATATATATAATATTTTATTCCTAAAAACATGGTGATTTTTCCTGGGTGTTTGACAGTACTATTTTCTTATTAATGGAGTTATAAAAAGAGATCAAAAATAAACATTTAACTCGAATATTTCAACAAAACGACACTATTTTGAACCTGTTTTATACAATATTTACATTTATGTTGTAGAAAACATGCAAATTAGCACATATTTAATTAGATGACTCATTTGCATACTTGTAGCATTTCAGAAAACATACAAAAACTAATATGAAATAATTGTCTTAACGTACTACGATTAATCAACCTAGGAGAGTATGGCGATATCTGTGTTAAAGTCTAGTGTCATGCCTTAAAATGTAAAACTGCAAAAGGGTTTCTGTGAGGTTTAGGGGTAAAGTTAGGAGATGCAGTAGTAAATATCTTTAGATCAGTATAAAAACAACAAAAGTCAAAGATAAGTGCCTTCTATAATAGAAACAAAAAAGTTTCTTTGGAAGTAGCAAACCCCTCCAAATAAAGCTCATAATGTTGCTAAATAATGTCTTAATCCATATGATACAATTTTAGGGTTAGTCTAAATAAATGTTTTAAGATCAGCAGGAGTCAGTGGAACATCCCAAATGTGTATGTGTGTAGGTCTTTGTTTATTTACATGTGTGAGAGTGAGAGTTTTCACTGGACATTCTTTAGGATGTTACTCCCCCCCCCCCCCCCCCCCCCCCGCGGAGCCTCGCGCTG